TACAGGGGAAGGATCACTTCCCTGCTCCTGCTGGCCACACTGTTCTTGATGCAGGCCAGGATGCCATTGGCCTTCTTGGCCACCTGGGCACACTGCTGGCTCATGTTCAGCCTCCTGTCGATCAGCACCCCCAGGTCCCTTTCTGCCTGGCTGCTCTCCAGCCACTCTGTGCCCAGCCTGTAGCGCTGCTCAGTAAGAAAAAAGTAACATATATACTGTATTTAGTCTCTTTTCTGTAGTTTTGAAATGCACATGAATTACTGAAAATAGAGCCATTATCATTTTGCATTATTTTATTTCTTCTAGAATTCCCATATGACCTAGTTTATTGAAGCAACTAACACCAAGCCAAATAGATTTCAGTATGTTGACAAAGGAATGCAGACCATTCACACTAAGTTTGTATAATATGACCATTGATTTCTACTGCATATTTCCTGAACTCACCTGATTCCACACGAAGAGGACCTCTGTAGGCAAGAGTTAGAAACCCTTCACTGGATAGATACAGGGTTTTGTCCAATTCCACCAGCCTCACCGATGTCAGATTTTCTATTTCACATCCAGCAGCTGTTTTGCCATCAATTTTACCACAATCTGGCATGGATCCACAAATGTTTAGCTAAAAGTTTTGAAAACATGTGGATGTACACAATATTAACTGCAGAAATTAGATTCACATAGCCATTTCTATATCAGTAAAACTTGTTTGTCAATAACTTTTTCAAACAACACAGTTGTCTTGCAGACTGGAAATGACAGACATTTCAACTATAATACAGTAACAATATTCTCAATTTTCAGCTTATGGGGTCCACAAATTCTCCCCACTAGAAGTGCAGGATGTGGCTCAGCAAGTTTATTCTCGGACTAAGAAAGATACTACTATGGCAGTATTTGTGACAGCCTAGGACTGCTGATATATGCAGATTGCATTAAAAACACTGATATGGACAGATTAAATCCCTTTCTAGGTTTCCCCTATCAATTTCTTCAGCATCAACAGATAAATTGGCAACAGAGTCCATAAGGGCAAAATTCTGCATAGCCTGAAAAGCATGGCTACCTTTTGTTTGCTAAGAACCAGAAGTTCAATGCTTTTAAGACCATCTGAGATGAATGGAATTATCTTCCATTCCTGCCCTCAAGCACAGTGCTTTCTTGCCAACTCATGTTTCATAAAAGGACTGAGTCACAGCTCCACTTGCTATTAAGCAAGACCAAAAAAATGCAAAACTAGCATCCATAAGCAACAGACTGTACAGTCAAAATCCTTACCAAGAAATTCTTCCCACTGCCAGTAGCCACATAGCCCTTTTCAGAAGCTAACGGCTGCAGATTGAACAAAAAGCCAGTGTTTGGATCTCGCACAGTGCAGGACTGGAAAAAAAAAATTACAACAGAATTATTTTCTCCTTCTGCATTTCTTTTGTTAAAGTTTTACCTCTAACTTTTTTCGAGAACCAAAGCAGTGATTTACACATATTCCTAGCCTGCATAGCAATCAGCAACTTAATTTGGTCAATCCAGATACAGCTTGGGCAGTAGCAACACTTCATTCAATTCCTTTGCACATTTATTCAGTTCTTTTTGTTCACTGACATCAGCCACATACCATCATATTAATGTGGAATTTAACAGATCTATCAGGTTAGCTAAGAGAAAGAAAATTTTAACTGAGTGTTGTTTCCACACTAATGTGTTTATGTTGAGAAGTGTAAAGCAGAATCAACTGGGTAGTTTAGCATGAAAAAACAAAAGTCTCCTTTGCTGATCTGTACAAAACAAGGACAATAAATACATACACCCTTACACAAAGACTCAGTTTGACTAGTAAGACTGTAAGGGAATGGAACATTCAGTGCTAGAGCAGGTAAACTGTTCTCAAGAGAAAGCACATGAATACTTTGGTCAGAGGTTACACATTTCAGGAATGCTTCAAAAAGAAAGCAAGAAGGTATCACAAGACTCAATCATGACCTAAGACTTCATTGTAGTCAGTTTTCTTCAAAAGTCATTTAAAAATAATAATCAGGAGTGTTAGAAGCAAATAGGACATTGAGACTACAAATACCATTTACGTTCTTCCTTTCTCACCTGTGAATCATCTTTTGTTTCCCTGATTGGACAAGCAGCCTCAGTTTCCCATATAAAAGTGGCCACACAATCCAGAATAGCGATAAACCGTGGGCTGCTACTCTGGAAATAGATTGCAGAGAGAAGACCAGAATAAGTGCAACAGCCAACATGTTCTCATGTTTGAGACACCACTCCGGAACCATCAGATTCTTCTAAAAGACTTCACTACAAATGCACACAATTCCCACCCTGCTTCCCTCGCCCCTATTTATTTTGAAGCAAGTTCATAACCACTCAAAGTCACAGATTTTTCACCCCACCTCTTGGTCTAAACAACAGGTGAGTAAGGGGAGTAAGAACTGCAGATTCACAAAACCAGGAAGAGCAAGTCTAATGATCCTCTCAGTCTAAACTTCATGTGGAGTTGCATCAGCAAAAACTTCAGATTTAAGAGTCCTACAATCAAAAATCTACAGAGGATGCAGAACCTAAGCCTGAAGATACACCTCACAATATTTTTCCCCTTAAGAGGGTCCACAATATTTGTAAGTAACAACTCCTCAGTTTTAAGTCCCTATGTAGTTTTCACACTAATTAGACTAGTCTGAAATATGACT